ATCTCGTTCCCCCCGGGGGCCATAATGGTGCCCCCCCCACCAACCAACAAGCCTCACGTGTGTCTGTCGACCATCCTGATCATGAGCAGCATGGCGCTGATGGACGCCTACCTGGTGGAGCAGAACCACGGCCCCCGGAAAATCGGCGTGTGCATCATGGTCATGGTGGGTGACGTCTGCTTCCTCATCGTACTACGCTACGTGGCGGTGTGGGTGGGCGCTGAGGTGCGCTCTGCCAAGCGTGGCTACGCCATGATCCTCTGGTTCCTCTACATCTTCGTGCTGGAGATCAAGGTCTACTTCATCTACCAGAACTACAAGGCCGACCGCAAGAGCCTGGACACCATCGCCCGCAAAGCCCTCACTCTCCTGCTGTCCGTCTCGGTGCCAGTGCTCTACATCATCCTGGTAGCCATTGACCACATGGAGTACGTCCGTGCCTTCAAGAAGAAGGAAGAGATCCGTAACCGGCTCTTCTGGGTGGTGGTCGATCTCCTGGACATCCTGGACATCCAGGCTAACCTGTGGGAGCCCCAGAAGAAAGGGCTCCCCATATGGGCGGAGGGGCTGATGTTCTTCTACTGCTACATCCTGCTGCTGATCCTGCCCTGCGTGTCCCTGAGTGAGATCAGCATGCAGGGCATCAACATCGTTCCCCACAAGATGATGCTGTACCCCATCCTCAGCCTGGTCACCATCAACATCATCACCCTCTTCATCCGGGGCAGCAACCTCGTCTTCTACAAGGACGCCCGGGTGTCCGGCATCCTCATTGGCAAAAATGTGCTGGCCATAATTCTGAAGACCTGCAGCTTCGCGCAATACCGCAAGCAGCTGCAAAATGCCCCGCCCGCCTTCGGGGTCGAGCTCCAGAAGAACTCAGTGTCCCACGCCCGGCCAAAGCCCACTCAGCCCCAAGTGGTTGCACAGGACCAGACGCCACTACCTGAGGTCACTTCCTGTGAACACACATGACCCTGAATGCACTAGAGTGGGCAGCCATAGGGAGCCCATTGGAGCAAACTGGAGCCCAGTACAGAGCCCAGAAAGGCGCCATCATTCCAGAAGGTTGGCTAGAAAACTCTGATTTTCCAATACTGTGAAAAAAGGAAAATCCAAAACAGGTATATTGCGTCTATTTTCTATCCATGAGTGGTGAGTAATGTGAAGAATTTAACCCCCCCCCCCCAAAAAAAAAAAAAAATGATTGCATTGTGATGGTGTAATTTTCTTTCACTGAAATTCTCTATTTTATGTGACTGTATGATATTGTTACGGCAATTCAAGGCGTAAAAGACAGAATCAGCATTGTGTGAATAAAAAAAAACAGCTGAACGAAAGGCCTTTTTATAAACGAACCGTGTTTGTATGTCATTCTTTGATAAAGTGTTGTGTACATATCAGCGAGTTGTCCTAATGTGTCTCTGTTCTGTGCGACATGCTTGTCTACTGTAGTGCCTGATTGGGGAGGCACTTCTTCACACTAATTTCATTATTTAACAACCTGTCAATACTCTGTGTTCAAATTAGAGCTTGACCACGGGTTTCTTATTAACCCGTCTCACAAAGGAGAATAGCCAACGATTTCCCCCCCACCTGCCCTGATTTAATTTGCAGTTAGACTTCCTTTAATGGAAAATGCCGCCTTCTAGGTAGTCTGAGTCAACAGAAAAGACCGCTTACTACATTCAGGTTCCTCTGTTGGCCTACAACCTGATGACGTGGCAGGCAACAGTGGAACAGCTTGGTTGTTTCGTAGCATACATAGCCTACCGCCCTCATAGCAACATGGTGGCTAACAGGATCCTGTTACCCTCTTACCCTGATGGCGAACCCCCATTGCTAACTGAAGACACACCCCGATGCTAACTGACTGTATGCCCCGATGCTAATTGACAGAAAGCTCCTGATGCTAACTGACGGCACGACCCCGATGCTAACTGACTGTATGCCCCAATGCTAATTGACAGAAAGCCCCTGATGCTAACTGACGGCACGACCCCGATGCTAACTGACTGTATGCCCCAATGCTAATTGACAGAAAGCCGCTGATGCTAACTGACGCCACACCTCTGATTCTAACTGTTGGCACGTACCCCTGATGTTAACTGATGACACGTCCTCACCACTAACTGACGGTGCGCCCCTGATACTAACTTGCGGCAAACTCCTGATGCCAAATCAAACCACTGTGAGGCAACAGGTCGTATTGACCTACATTTAGGAGTACAGCGCTCCATCATGGTGGAACCTTCTGGTACATGTCTGATATTGATGGCCTGTGAAAATACCCTCTGCTCACCCAGCCCAGCCACCACTTTCCAGATACTCTCGGCATTAATTAAAGGCATCAACACATACAGTCCAGCTGCCCCGAGACGACTTCCGGTGCACAACAAGCCATTTGCTGCGTGTTGCATTAAATGCAAAATCTGATCGCAAAAAAAAGCCTGCAGGTAAATCTGATTAAACGTGAATCTCAAAAGGAAACAGGCAAGGAAAGAATAGCGGAACTAAAGGAACTGAGTCGAAGGGGGAAAAGTGCCTTTTCTTTTTGATGATGAAATAACATAGATAGAAGAGAAGCCCTGAAGTCAGTTTCGGGTTTAATTCGCCAAAAATGCAGCACTAAGCAGGCAAAAAGAGGATTGCAAAACTGGCAAAAAACACAGGATACTGTACAGAACCACACTGTAGACTGACACCTTGTTTATACTGCATGTCCATGAATTTCCTGCATCACATGCATTATAAACTGGGTGTTTTTTTGTCTCATTCAGCCATACACAGGGTCCGATTGATTTCTACCCATGTTGAGCTATGGTCTATTAGAATGTAAATGACTATTTTCAAAACTAGGGCCACCCAGTTTAATTACAATCTATAGATTGCTTAAGCTGCCATTTTGTCATTTTCAATTCCAGCTCATTTCTTATTATCTAAAAGCATTCTTATTTTCACACCGGCCTTAGCCCTCCATGTCTTTCGTTTATATCACAAGGACTTTCGGCTTTCAAACGAGCATGGTCTAAAAACATAGCATTATTCATACGATTTTTCAGAGCAAGATTTCCCGTTGTGAAACAAAAAGCATTGTTTCCATTGATATGGCAATGAGGCTCCGTGTGCTTGTATGACAGAGAGGTGACTTACGCAGTGACACCGTTCCTTGATTTCTGAAATCCCGCCATTCTAATAGAAACAAAGACTGACGTTCGACAGAGAACTTTTTATCCAAGGGAAGATGTCGTACGAGGGAAAGGGCTATTTTCCTGTAAGATTCCCGAAGACAAAAATGTCACAGACGCAATCGGAATACATTTAACCCCGCCTCTTAAAACCTGTCTAATAAAAACAGGAAAAAAATAATTGAACCATTATTCCCAGGAAACTGCTAACCAGAATTAACCTTTGCCTTATTCAGAATGGCAAAGAATTTCACTTTGCTATTTGGCAATTAAATAAAAGAAACCAGCTTAGCAAAATAAGAATGTACAATTTTTGGAGGACAGCACAGTACTGGGCTGGAGGACATGCAGAATGGAAGGCTGACTTTTTTGTTGTGTCCGTTTTAGAAGAACTTCTAACCAAAACTGGTATTATGAAAGCAAAAATGAGCAAATCTCCTTCAGAACCGTCTCATTACGGCTGTAGGACCGCTACTCTTCCCTGATACAGAACACAGAATCAGAGCCGTCAGCACAATTGTCCCGTCAGAATGTGTGGTCACCGTGGGTCATTTACGTACCCCCCCCCCTCTACGCCTTTCCCAAGCTGCCTCTGTTTCGTAATTGAGATCAATGATGCAATCAGTGGTCTCTTGTCGGTAGACTTTCCCCTGCAGCTCCACAAAGAAAAAAAGAAAAACACCCTGCCCCCCGCCTCGCCCGCCTGCCGCCCGTGAGGTGAAATCTTCAGGCTGTAATCAAAGGCCCTCTGCCCAATTACCTGTGCTCTTCAACACTGGACACAAAGCAGCACTCAATAAGCTCAAGTGTTAAGCTCCTAACAAGCAGGTGAGTGGGTTGGGGTGGGGCTGTGAATTTACACCCCTGACTATGGAGAGACTCCTCCAACCACTGCAGCTGGGAAGGAGCACTGTGTTCAAGGTGCAACGTGTCAGAGGGCGGGCTCATGTTAAACAAAAGCCAATCAAACGCTGAAGGTGCCCCGATACACCCAAGCCTATTGGTCTGGAAATAACTGGAGGACACTTAGCTCAAAAAAGTTATTTGCTGAAATACATGGAGAGAGAGGAGTTTCTAAGGCAAAATAATGATAGAGAGGAGGAGGGTGGGACTCCTACAAAAAGATGACTACTCCATCAGCTGTCAAAATCATTTCCTCTGCTTTAATCATGTACCTCTAAAATCTGACAACTGCCTAGCTAGCATATGCTGTAAATCCTGCCTCGCTTTTGTCCGCTGTTCCACCAAAACAAGGTCTGATGAGCGGAAAGGCTTAGCTCGGCGCTCGGCGTTATAAACACCCTCTCCTGACGTTTGCGTCCCACTCAATTAGCGACTGACAAGCAATACATGTGGAATGGAGCATTTATTTATTTCATTGGCACAGCATTTATTTTGAAATTACGTCTCGAGTTGATTTACAGGGCGAATCCATCTCTGTCACAGCTGAGCACGCTGCAGACTGAATCGGATCTCAGACATATGTTAAGTTAGCAGAAATCGGCAGGGAGAATAATCCTTGCGGATCATTGCTTTTGCATGTCACGTCAATCCGCCCATGCAGGGTCATTTCAACATTTGGCAAAAGCCTACATGTAATTATAATTTTTCATTCTTACTATAAAATCTGCATTTATGCGAACAAAAGCTATAAAACAAGTGGGTTAATGGTAGGCTGTTGAACACGTATGTTATTACAAAACCGAAATTAAAGTAGTGACAAGAAGGCAGGAATTAACCAGGTGATTTTTGTTTTAATGCTTTAATTACAGACACGCTGCTTAATACACAAACCTCATACGCCGTAAAGGCTGTGTTAGCGTTATCCTTCTGTGCTTAATGCCCGAAGATCTGCACTAAACACTCGGTCGGCTCTCAAACATGCTGATTATAGCATTTGTTAGTGGCATCAAACTGACACGACACAAAGCGTCTGTAAACACTTCATTAAAACCGACACCTTATGTCTGAGCCAGTTTTCATTTAGGCATAAATGCAAATTACTCTATTTAAATATTATCTCGAAAAACACATCCAACATTTTCACAACACGCATAGACCTACGTATACATGATGTTTTATTCGATGCTGTCCCTGAAATTGTGTGAAGATTGTTTATGACGTATCTGTTCAGTCAGATACTCCAGAAGGATAATCATGATTAATTTATGTTATTACAATCTTTATTTCAACAGAGCTTCCTTAGCAGCAGGTTCAAGTAAATAATATCAGAAAAATGGAATAATCCTCACAGCAATTAGCAGTTTTCAACATCCTCCAGCCCAATTAGCTGTCTATGGCAGAGAACTAATGGCACTGATACCAGGCCCCAATAATTCAGTCGTTTCTAAAAAGAAAAAACTCCATCCCCACCGTTTCACCAAATACACAGGCCAACGATCATCGACTAAAATTTATAAGGCATGAAACAATCTCATTCGTTTTAAATATTGGTGGAACTACCCAATGTTTGTTTCCCTTTAAAAAAATACCTCCTTACGGCGAGTATATATAGCAGGAACCTATACGTATAATGTACATATAATACATTGAATTTTAGTATTTATTGTCGCCAACTGACTGGCGATTACTCCCTCGTTGTATTAAAAAATGGACACGGGCCAGTGGTTTTACGGCTCCTTGTTTCAGCGAAATAAATAATTCCTGCGTACTCCTTTGATTGGGGGGGCGCATTGTATAAAAATACTGCTAAACCGCTGCCGCTTTCCTGTGCGATCGTGGAGCAGAAGCAGCCGAAGTCACTCGCTATCTCAGCAGCCTTTTCGCCGACACCTGTCCCAGTGCTGAAGGCAGCTGGCACACAGGAGAAACTCACGCCTGGTCGCATTTTGACAGAAATTTTCCATTTGGCACAACCAGATCCAACCGCATCCACACATCCCAAACCTAGAGCCTGTATCATGAAGCAGGATTTCATGCTTAGCGGAATAACTTGTCGGATGTAAGGTAGTCTGAGCTAAATATAAGTAATCGAAGATAAAATCCATTTTACTTACACTTACGCTTGTAGTTCACGGTTCAGCTGACCTCTTAATTACGCTTGATTGAGATATTAACTGAATACATAAAATGGTTCAAATCATGACAATATGCAGCCTGAGGGCTTCTTATTCATTTAATAATTTATTAATTAGCTTTTATTTAC